AACATATAATACAGACTATTTATGGCGCAATCAAGAATTTTTATTATACCAGAACTATTAGAACAGATTTTACATTTCTTAGCGATAGATAAATCTCTTTATCCTACTTTATATGTTTCCCGATTGTGGTATAGATGCGGTGTCCCTATCTTATGGAAGCATATTGAGCTAAAGGGAAAAGACTTATATCCTGGGCAATCTCTTCCAAATGATTATAATTACTGTGCAAAGAATCGTCTTCGATTTAATAAATTCATAAGGATAGAACGTATAAAGGATCTCTCACGATTGAAAAAATTCATAAAGCTAGTACATAAGAAGTAAATGCCAGTTTATTGTTCAAATGTAACTCATTTTGAAATATCATACTACCATTCACTTTCAGATAAAAAAATCATAAGCATTGTACATTCATACCCAAATATAACCCATTTGAGTTTCATAAATAGCATAGGATTTAGTAATAAAGCATTAGATCTGATAGCGAGTTCATACCCGAATCTGAAATATCTCAATCTGTGCGGTAATCAGTCAGGTGGCGTTAGGTATTTTCGTGGTCTAGAAGTTGATGATGAAGGTCTATGGAGAATTGCAAAGTCATGTCATAAATTAGAATATTTAAATATTGCCTATCGCATAGAGATTACTGAACATTCAATTTGCGGTATTATTCGTTCCTCTCCAAAGCTCCAGCATCTTGACATTACCTTTTGTGAAATTACTAATATAACAATCAAAGAAATTGCTAGTTTGTGTCTTAATTTAAAATATCTCAATTTGGAATGGTGTGATAATATTAGCAAAGAAGCCATAAATTAGCTTATTTTACTTAATTCAAATATTCATATCGAGAATTACCAGGATCTGAATGATATTCAAGCTGAGATAAAGCGAGTGATAGAGCTATTACCAATACAGCCTCCAGTTGCTATTAGCACTCAGTTTCACCAGACATTCCGACAACCTAATTCCAATATGTTTATAACAGTCGACTCTGGTGCCGATCACTCTATTATAGCTATAAACAGATAATCACCGAGAAATTATTTTGATAGAATACTAGCTGATCGAGCCAGGATAGTGGAACTCTACTGATCTAACTAATCTGAAGTAGTGATCACCAGCTCAAAAGAATTTTTTTCGCATCTAGATATGTCTTGTATAAGAAAAAAAATATATAAATTAGCTAACCTATTCTAGACATTGACACTGGCTGACACTAGATGGATTTTTGACGAATTTTTCATGCAATTGTTGAGGAGAGACCTTTGGGAATAATGGTAGCCCCTCTCCAGTAAAATAAAACTTTTTTACTCCTCTATCGATGAATTTTTGTATTAATACACTTGGAACATCTTCTAAGTGGCCATGGTATTCCTCAAACTTTCGAAGATATTCTCTTGCGGTTTTATCAGCCTCTTCTGCAATTTCTTGATTAGTATAGCCAACAATATTGAGTTCTTCCTGAATTACTATTATATCCTCTTCTAGATACATAAGCAAATTAAATATCTCCTTCAATGAAATATCCGTAGAAGCTTCATTGCTTTGATATTCTACTTCTAGAACAGGATTACCATCAATGTTGAGATTCTCCTGTATCAGCATTAAATCCCCTACCAATTCTAACAACAGCT